TCTGAGCAAACACATTAACGTAATGCATGAGATCCCCTCGCTGCTTTAACCGCCGTAGCTCCGCGCGAAGTCTCAGACCAAGATCATCCGGCAAGTATTCCTTATGGATACGAGATCGCATCTTGGTCCAACTTCTAGTCTGCCCTTTTTTAGCACACACTTGGCGCCACCAAGTTTTGGCATGATCGGTGAGAAAGGATTGCGCGCATGCAACTTTCGTACGATCATCTACGTCTGCCGCTATGAAGTAGTTCTCCATATTGTAGACCCAGTCTTCCAAAACCTGATAGTCCCGCATGCTTCTGAAGTTGGGTGGTTTTGGGGGCTTGAACTTTGAAACTCGTGCAACCGGGGGCAGCTGCAGAACTTCATCGTCCTCAGAACTTGAAGAGGAGTCCGGTTGCTTAGGCTTTGTTGGTTTAGCTGCCTCAGCTTCTTTCTTCCTCTTCTTGTTCTCCTTCTTTAATTTGCGAATCTCCTTTCGCAAATTCTCAATCTCAACTTCCTGAACCGTATGCTGCAACGCCGCAGCATTTGGCTCTTCCTCTTCCGACTTAGCCTCTGCCTCTTCCGCAGCATCTCTAGCAGGAGTTTCCTCCTCTCGATTCGCCCGTCTAGAGGTTTCAGCGTCATCAGCACGATTCCGTTTCACCATCCCGCTAGTTGCATGCATGCCTCTATCAGTAACTGAACATGCATACAACGTTCTTACCGAATGGTGCAATCCAACTAATCCTACACAGGTCGCTTCGGATCTACTAGAAAAGTCTCTGCGTATGCAGCTTGAGTCAGAAAATCCAACAAAAGTTGGATAGGAATCGCTGAGACAATCCCTCTAATACCAAATGTAGCGCACCTGAATTTGGAGCCGAATTCCAAGCCCGTTGCGCTACGAAACGAGGGTCCGGTGCAATCCCACGAGCACCAGCTCCCCGTGTCCAGCACCTGCACGCAAAATGGTGTCAGACGGAGTTTGGCACAATTTTGGCATACCGGTGGCCTAACGCAAGGAGGAGGGTACTCCACCGACTAGAGCAGCGTGGAGCTTGGGCTTAGACCCAAGCCGGACGCAGAACAAGGAGCGACACAGCCCAGCGGGAGCCAAACTAATGTCTCAGGTGGTCGGACATGCATTCCAACCACTATCCCTACTATACATTTGGAACCCCCCAAACCCCCCCCCCCCCCTTTGAGGGACACACGCTTTGGGCTTTCACCCCAAGCCTCCCTTAGTACCAGGAGTTAGTCTCTGGGACAAGTCCGAAACTTACTAAATATGGAATGTCCTTAGATTGCGAATTTGGACACGGGACGAACACCATTGTGTTCAGGCCGGTCTCTACATTTCGTAGATATGCCAAATGAGCTAATCTAGACACTTTCCATAAATAGCATTTGGGACCGAAATGAGACCAACACAAAGGGTATGATAGCGAGGGTGTTTGGCAAACACGGTAAGCTATCATCTAGCGAATATTGAGGGACTAATCTCAATATCATGGGGGTTCCCAACACTAGCAAGTGCAAGTCAACGAATGAGTTTCTCTAACCAGGTCAAGTATGCTTGACAAATAGCATGTAAGAATTCCGTCCTTATGCTCATCTGGTCAAGTGCACATGCGATGACCAGTTTCTCAACTAGCTTGAGTGGAGACCATAAAAGGAACCAGCAGTACCGACCTCCTGCCATCGTGGCAGTAAGGAAAGAGTGCCCGTAAGGATTGGCCGACAAGTATCTTTCGATACCCAAAGTCACATTTGCGACATATATTCACCACTCTTGGCCATAACAGGAATCAAACCTTGAATTAAATTTCTTTCATTTCCATTGTTTTAGTATTTTATTGGTAAATTCTTCATCTCCTCTTTTCTCAATGACAAAATTCTAAATTTTTTTAACTCACCATATTATTTAATATACAAAAAAGATCCATATAATAACTTCAGTATCAAAAAGTCCATAACAGTCCACAAGATCCAAATTTTCCATCTCCTAAATGAGAGGAACTCCATTGCTATTATCTATGGAATTGAAAAATTTCATCTCCCAAAATGGGAAAAATGCCATTGCCATTGTTTATAAAATCCAACATTATTTCTTAAATAGGAGGAAATGTCAATCCCATTGCCAAAAATTTCCAATCTCTTATATAGGAGGAAATACCATTGCTATTGCCAATGAGATCTAAACTGTTCATCTCTCAAAGGAAACTCCATTGCTATTGTCATTGAAATTGAAAGTTTCCATCTCCCAAAAAGGAGGTATATCACTTGTGCCATTGTAAAAATCCAGTCTATGTACCAAAAACTTTTCAATTCACTTAAATTTTATTCATAAGAAAAGGTCTAGATAAGTTTATCACTCTTTTAAATTATAAACATACCAAGACATACCAAGAAACAATGAGAATAAAAGAAAATTAATACTTCTATGTTAAATGCAAAAAGTATAATCCAGAACAAAATTAATGCACATCGAAAAACATAAAAGAGAAGAGAGATATCATAATGCCTCTAACACTTGAAACTTCCAGGGAATAAATGTGCCCGGGGAGTTGACCCAAAGTATGTTGACTCAGGTGCCGACTCACGAGAGTCACGGGAATCGAGCAAGACAAGCATGGACCTCCCAGTGTCATGGTTGTGCAAGCCATGCCAAGGCCATTGGTTTCACGGATAAAACAATTTGCCGGATTGATTCTCTCTATTGTATATTCTTCTTCATAAAATTACAAGCTTTCTAGAGTTGACTTTTAGAGGACAATTTTTTCCACTCAATTGCTGGAACCACTCTTCTAAGTTGTTCTAAGGCTTTCTTGACATTAAAAAGGCAGCTCTGACATGGAGAAGTGACTAAAAATAAAGAGTCACATTGAGATGTTGTTAGCTATTGTCCTCGTTCTAACTCTTGTGTTTCTTGATCACACAATGGATTTGGAGCAAGCGCGTGAACGCCCCACAGAAGTTATTCTATCACCTCTTCAAAAAGTTATTGACATGAAGCTATGTCAAGTTCATATTGACATGGTTATAGTTCATGTTCTCGCTATATAATGATGGAGGGAAGAATGATGCAAAGCAGAGTTCTACATCCTAGCGTTTTTTTCTACCTTTGGACCCATTGTCACTTTGACAATTCCGTGAGCTATGCGAAGACGTAAATATTAATCAATAACTCGTAGAATTCTTCAAAGGTAACAAACGAAATCGATGACTTCCAACCGTGCCCTAGCCCACGTTTTCTACATTTTAGCTTTATATATTACATAAACGTACAAGGTAATATACGAGTTACGAAGCTGCAAGAGTGTCAAAAGCACAGTGCTCAAGTCTCGGTGATACTTGAGCGACAACAGCATCTGCAATAATATTAATGAATCCAGGGCCGCTTTCAAAGGACAACTTCCTTGTAGCTCCATCCCGAAATTTCCAGTCAAACCCATGGATCAAGTTTGAGAGCACCAACTGAACATTCCGCAGCCCAAGAGGAAGCCCTGGACAACCTCGCCTTCCGGATCCGAAAGGAAGCAACTCAAAGTCATGGCCATAGACGTTGATATTGCTACCAACAAATCTCCCAGGCTTGAACTTGTCCGGATCATTTGGCCAAGCCTGGGAGTCCCTTCCAATGGCGTACGTGTTGACGAGAACGGTTGCCTTTGCTGGAATCTCAAAGCCCGCAACTAGTCGAGGCTCCGGGGACGTGTGTGGGACCATCAGCGACAGCGGGGGATGGAGACGAAATGTCTCCTTGATAACAGCGTTGACAAGCTCCAGCTTTGCCAAGTCCGACTCTTCCACCATTCGATCTCGCCCAACCACGCTTTCAATCTCTTGCTGGAGTTTCTCCATCCACTCGGGATTGTGGAGAAGCTCAGCCATAGCCCATTCCACCACGGTTGACGATGTCTCGGAGCCACCAAGCAGTAAATCCTAGTAGAAAAGACCATGCGAGAACAAAGATAGCCCGAACAAATCAAGAGTTCACTTACCATTAGCAAGGCTTTGAGATACTGGGCCTGTTCAGGGCCGTCCACTCGCGCCTTCGTCATCTCCACAAAGTCTGGAATTTCTCCGGGTCTTTGCTCGTTCAGAACTTTGTCCAGGAACGCATCCATCCTCTGGTGAGCTCGTCTACAACGGGCTATGCTCCAGTCGAGCCAGCCGACACTGGGGAAGTAATCTGCTATGAAGAACGCCCCGGCTGCATCCATCACCTCGTCAATCACATCCACAAATTCCCGCGCCTGGGGATCATCGCTGGAAGCCTTGGATCCAAAGTAAGTCTTGTTCATGAGGATGCGAGTCATGACATTGAAGCTCAGTGATCTCAGCTTGCCTCGCAGTGCCACTGGGTGATCCGCCTTGGAAGCCTTGGCGAGCTCGGCAGTAAGATCCCACAGCTCGTCCCGGATGATTTTGGTGAAGGAGGTGACCCTCCTGGCCGTGAAGAGCTCCATGGAGCACATCCTCCTAATGTTCTTGTGGTACTCACCCTCAGAATAAGATAGGCTCTTGCACTTGTACATGAGAATGTCTACGGCCACTCTGGGTGGCCTGCGAGCGAATGCGGCATCGTGGGTCTTGAGGAACTCCCTGGCCATGGCAGGACTGGAAATCACAATGAGTGGCGCGGATCCCAGGCGCAAGTACATGAGGGGTCCAAACTTCTTGGAGAGGTGATAGAGTGAGATCTGGGGGATCCTTCCCAGGAGATGGAAGTGGCCGATGAGAGGCAAAGCTCTGGGGCCTGGGGGGAGCTTGATGCCGCGCTTGCTCCACATCCATTGCGTGACGAAGAACGCAAGAGTTAGAACGAGGACAATCGCTGGCAACATTGCCAGTTTAACTCTTTGCTTGAGACTCTTCTCCAGCGAGTGAATGAGTGTTGTGTCAAACCTTGCTGCCGTTTTAATTAGAATTCGATTAATTAATTTAATCGAGGGCGAGCAGAGACTAGTACTTGGAAGAGTGGTTGCCACTCGTTCAACGATTCGAGGGGGAAAATTTCTATTCAATTCAAGGACTGCTCGAAATTTAGGTCCGGGAGGAGCGATTCGCGCGCGCGCATGAGACATCCATCGGTCTCTCACTGTTTGAATTGACTGTTTGTTACTGGGGTCGCCGCCACGCCACACCCAACAAGAGAAGGGATCGATCCATCTCGAGCTAGGGATGGTCTGCTGCTAGAATCGGAGGATTTCCAGAGAGAATGGCGACCAGTCGAGCCGTGGTGTCGGGTAATCTAGCGCTCGCGCGGCGGCCCAGCTGCTCATCCAGCGCCTGTGGCGAGAGGGTTGTGAGCGTGAGGGTTGGGCGAGGGCGAGGGATTCGATGCGAGGCGGCGGAGAACAAGAGCGCCAATGTGGCTGTGGAGCCAGAGGGCAGCTTCGATTCCAAGATCTTTCGCAAGAATTTGATGAGGAGCGACAATTACAACCGGAGTGGATTTGGCTACAAGAAGGAGACGCTCGAGAGGCTGGATCAAGAATACAACACAAGTAAGCTTTGCTCGCCTAGAAACTTTCCTGGTGAAGAAGATCTATTCCTTTGTTTTTCCACTTTGCATGAGTTCTTGCGGTCATACTCCTTTGATTTTCTTGCCTAGTTTTTCTACTTACTTCGCGAGCTTTGCTCCAACGATTTGCTGGATTGATGCTTGCTATGGTATTCCAAACTTCGTGATCTTTGCAAGCCATCTTTCATTGATGCTTGATTTTAGATGTTGTTTCTTTCTTTCTTTCAAATGCTTTCATCCTTGCTATGGCATTTCCAACTATTGCGGTCCACTGGCTAAGAGTTTTCAATTTCTGGTCAGGTGACATGCTTAAGTCGCTCAAGGAGAACGATTACTCGTACACTTGGGGAGATGTCACGGTGAAACTTGCAAATTCCTATGGATTTTGCTGGGGAGTGGAGCGTGCCGTGCAAATAGCATACGAAGCACGTAAACAGTTCCCGGATCAGCATATCTGGATCACCAACGAAATCATTCACAATCCTACCGTGAACCAGGTATGCACTTGAAACTCCATTGTCATGCTACATAATCTTTTTCCGCTTTAGAAACTGGAGGAGATGGAAATTAAGATGATCCCTGTGGAGGACAAAGTCAAAGATTTTAGCGTGGTGAAAGAGAAAGACGTCGTTGTGTTCCCAGCATTTGGTGCTACTGTCCAAGAGATGCAGCTCCTCGCTGAAAAAAAAGTCCAAATCGTCGACACTACATGCCCGTGGGTAGCAAAGGTATTGTATTCTCTTTTCTCTTCCCTGTTGGAGCTATGAATAAATCGAGTGTTTGTGGAAAGGTTTGGAACTCGGTGGAAAAGCACAAGAAATCCTCATATACTTCCGTGATCCATGGAAAGTATGCTCACGAGGAGACTGTTGCGACTGCTTCATTTGCTGGGAAATATATTATCGTCAAGAACATGAAAGAGGTTTGTGTAGCTTCCTTAGATTTGTTGCATCAATCGCCAAATGATCTTAATTATCTCTCTACAGGCTACATACGTGTGCGACTACATTCTCGGTGGAAAGCTCGATGGCTCCAGTGGAACTAAGGAAGAGCTGTTGGAGGTAAATCTCTGAAAGGAAAGTCTACTCACTCACAAGCCAAGGTTTTCTTTTGTTTGTTTGTAGAAATTTAAATACGCAACCTCCAAAGGCTTTGATCCGGACGAAGATCTCGTCAGGGTCGGGATTGCGAATCAGACGACGATGCTTAAAGGGGAAACAGAAGATATTGGTAAGCATGTAGCCATTGTGTCTCGCGTGATCAAAACCACCACCTTCTTGCAGGGAAGCTACTCCAGAGGACGATGATGCAAAAGTATGGAGTGGAGAACACAAACGATCACTTCATGAGCTTCAACACAATTTGTGACGCTACTCAGGTATAAAGTTTTAGGACGTCCTGCAATTCGGAATGATATCGTAAATCACTGCGTAGGAGCGGCAAGATGCGATGTTCACGCTGGTGAAAGAGAAGCTCGACCTCCTTATCGTCGTCGGTGGCTGGAACTCAAGCAACACGTCGCATCTCCAAGAGATTGGAGAGATCAACAACATCCCCTCTTACTGGATCGACACTGAAGAACGGATCGGTCCCGGAAACAAAATCGCTTACAGGCTCAACGTAAGAATGTCTAGCTTTCCTCGCAGCTCCTCATGAACTTTAAAACTTTGGATTGCAGCATGGAGAGCTTGTCGAGAAGGAGAACTGGCTCCCAACTGGATCCGTGACAATCGGTATCACATCAGGTGCTTCCACACCCGACAAGGTATGAGTGAGAATCTCTAAACCCTGATCGCTTGAATTTCCAATTTCCAGGTCGTGGAGGACGTTCTAAAGCAGGTATTCCAGCTGAAAAAGCAAGAAGCGCTGCTGTGATTTTCCATGGTCTTGTAACTCCAAAGCCTGCAAACGTATGGGCATTTCTCAGAATTCGATTGTATTATTTTCATAATGAGAGAATTTCCAAGTATAAATTCATCCGAGTTTTAGCTATCTTGCAACAGTTTCATGCTGCTTGGCGATAGCTGATCGCAGATAGAAAGACCGCATCAAGCGCTAGATTGCCATTCTCTCTGGAAAATCCTCCGATTCTAGCAGCAGACCATCCCTAGCTCGATCCCTTCCTGTTCCAGTAACAAATATCAGGTTGCCTTGCTCTCGCACCAAAACAGCACACTTCTCCTATTTCTCTCTAGCTCTGGAGTCTATTGTCACTGTCCATCGTTTTCCAAGAGCGATCTTCCAGATCGATTCCCGATGGAAAACTTTCTATACCAGCAGCACAGAGGTCACGTTTAAATTCTTTGCTGCTATAGTAGAGATTGACTCCCGTCTATATGAACTGAGAATTTGACCACATGCTACTCAGGATTGGCCAAAACGCATAAATTTATCATTTTTGAGTGTGTCTCATGCGCGCGCGAACCGCTCCTCCCGGATCTAAATTTCCAGCAGCAAATAGCTCCCTTGAATCGTTCAAAAGAGTGGCAACCACTCTTCCAAGTCCTAAAGCTCAGTTCTATTACTTTCACATTAAAAAAGGCAGCTAAGGTTCGACACAACACTCTCAAGAAAAGATTAGTAAGATTAAGAATGTTGTTCGCGACTGTCCTCGTTCTAGCTCTTGTGTTCTTTGTCACGCAATGGATGTGGAGCAAGCGCGCCAATCTTCCCCCAGGTCCAAGAGCTTTGCCTCTCATCGGCCACTTCCATCTCCTGGGAAGGATCCCCCAGATCTCACTCTATCACCTCTCCAAGAAGTTCGGACCCCTCATGTACTTGCGCCTGGGATCCGTGCCACTCATTGTGATTTCCAGTCCTGCCATGGCCAGGGAGTTCCTCAAGACCCACGATGCAGCATTCGCGCACAGGCCACCCAAAGTGGCCGTGTATAGCTACAAGACCATATCTTTCTCGGAGGGTGAGTACCACAAGAACCTTCGGCGGATGTGCTCCATGGAGCTCTTCACGGCCAGGAGGGTCACCTCCTTCACCAAAATCATCCGGGACGAGCTGTGGGACCTCACTGCCGAGCTCACCAATGCTTCCAAGGCGGATCAACCAGTGGCACTGCGAGGCAAGCTGAGAGCACTGAGCTTCAATGTCATGACTCGGATCCTCATGAACAAGACTTTCTTCGGATCCAAGGCTTCCGGCGGTGGTGGCCAAGAGGCGCGGGATTTTTTGGAGACGATTGACGAGGTGCTAGCGGCAGTGGGGGCGTTCGCCATAGAAGATTATTTCCCCAGTATCGGCTGGCTCGACCGGAGCATAGCCCGCCGGTGTAGACGAGCTTACGGGAAGATGGATGCGTTCCTGGAGAATGTTTTGGATGAGCAAAGGCCTGGAGAAATTCCAGACTTTGTGGAGATGACAAAGGCGCGAGTCAACGGCCCCGACCAGATCCAGACTCTCAAAGCGTTGCTCATGGTAAGTGAAAACTCTTCGTTTGATCGCGCTAAGTCTCTCTTTGCTCGCCTAGGATTTACTTATTGCTGGCTCCGAGACATCGTCAACCACGACTGAATGGGCTATGGCCGAGCTTCTCCACAATCCTGAATGGATAGAAAAACTTCAGCAAGAGATTGAAATCGTGGTTGGGCGAGATCGAATGGTGGAAGAGTCGGACTTGGCGAAGCTGGAGCTTGTCAACGCTGTTATCAAGGAGACATTTCGTCTCCATCCCCCGCTGGGGCTGCTGGTCCCACACACATCCCCGGAGCCTCGACTGGTTGCGGGCTTTGAGATTCCAGCAAAGGCGACAGTGCTCATCAACGCATACGCGATTGGAAGGGACTCCCAGGCTTGGCCAAATGATCCCGACAAGTTCAAGCCTGGGAGATTTGTTGGTAGCAATATCAACGTCTATGGCCATGACTTTGAGTTGCTTCCGTTTGGATCAGGAAAGCGAGGTTGTCCAGGGCTTCCTCTTGGGCTGCGGAACGTCCAGTTGGTGCTCTCAAACTTGATCCATGGGTTTGACTGGAGGTTTCCAGAAGATACAAGGAAGCTGTCCCTTGACAGTGGCCCTGGATTGGTTGATACTGTTGCAGATGCTGTTGTGGCCCATGTTTCCCGAAGACTTCAGCAGTGTGCTTTTGACACTCTTGCAGCATAATAATGTTGCAAATGCTTAATAGTAATGTTATTTTTATTTATTAATTCAATTGATCAAATAACGTTTATAAGTTTATAAGTTTATATGTGTTTGTAATTTATAAACACAAGACTAAATATCAACTATTAGATGATAGAAATAAAAAAGAATATACTAGAAAGGGTTTTAAAAAGTTTACAAATTATAAACATTTTTATAAATTATAAATACAAGATTAATCTAAATGAATAACAACTGTTAGATGGTAAATTATTATAGAATATTCAAATATATTCTAGGTATATTCACTACCATCTTAGTCCCTATAGGTTTGTTTAAGCAAACAAAAAATCCATGGTTTAAGGTTTATCATGTTAGTTCCTACGAAATTAAAAGATATAGTTCTACTTGTCTGAACTTTAACTTCTTATATGTGTTATAAATTAGAGTGAGTTATTAATATCAGAATGTTTAAACTGTCAAAAAGTTCATTGGCAAGAAAAGTGAAGACAATGAAACTACTAAAGTACTAAAGAATAGAGAATATAGAATAAATTTATATTAAACATTTTGAGTATGATATGATGCCAATAAATTAACATGAAACACATCATATGCACAAGATAATTCATCTAGAAGATTCAACTTACAAGATATATCACCATCTTTTTAACACCGAATAAGGCCTAACAATATCTTTGTAATAGCTTCCAAAACAAATACCCCTTAACATTCATAACCACAATTAGCCTAATACATTATATTCAGTAGTGCTAATACATTGATACCTATTTTGAGTTTTGCCCATTTCCTTAGTTGCCTTAGATTAACTTTAGTTTAGTTGTTTTGCATAAGTCTCAATGGGTAGGCTAACATTTCAAGACATTAGTTTCAGAATAATGATCTATTGAGGAACCCATGAGTATTTCATTGTAGCATCTCCTATAAAGAATAACCAATAATGTTGTGAAATTTATTATTATAATAGATTTTTATTATGTCCAAATGCTCAACCTAATTACATTAAACCGTTATGACATAATATTCCAAATAATCCTCAACTTGAGCAATTATACATATGGTTTGCCCATATGTTTGAAGATGATAAGTTGTATTAAACTTTAATTTAATACCAAACAACTGGAATGTGTGCCCCAAAATTTTCCCATAAACCTCAAATCTTTATTCAAGATTATCTCTTTGAAAGTTCATGAACCCATAATATTTCATAGAAATAGAGTTTTGCCACTTGTTTAGCATTCACTGTAAAAGCTAAAGATGCCCATATAACATGTTTTGAATTTAAATCCCATGAACAAAAGGTTGGGTTTGGTTACTATTTTAATCAATAATAATAAATATACTCCTCAATAAGCACATTTACATTTTATCAATTATCATTAAGTCAATTCCTTTCATTCAAGATGATATATCAAAATGAGAGATTTTCCTTGGGCTAAAGTATGAGTGTACAAACTCAATCATCTTTAGAGAGTTAAAATTCTTAAAAGCCTATTTCTCTTGCATAGGTGATAGCAAAGATTGGACTTCTAGCTTCAAAGATTCTCACAACTTTCAGTAGTGCCTAAGACTTTTAGCTACAGGAGGACAATTTATTCTCCCCACAACTTTGAATCACGAGAACCACTCTTCTAAGTTATTCTAGGCTCTCTTCACTTTAAAAAGTTGACACCAACACTAAAGAAAAAAGAGTTAGACTGAGAATGTTGTTAGTGATTGTCGCTCTAACTGCTCTGCTTTTTATCACGCAATGGATGTGGAGCAAGCGCGTCAAGCTTCCCCCAGGCCCTAGAGCTTTGCCTCTCATCGGCCACTTCCATCTCCTGGGAAGGCTCCCCCATATCTCACTCTATCACCTCTCCAAGAAGTTTGGAGCCCCCATGTACTTGCGCCTGGGATCCGTGCCACTCTTTGTAGTTTCCAGTTCATCCATGGCCAAGGAGTTCCTCAAAACCCACGATGCGGCATTCGCACACAGTGTCCGTCGAGATCGCTATGTATAACTACAGGCGAGGGTGAGTACCACAAGAATATTAGGAGGATGTGTTCCATGGAGCTCTTCACGGCCAGGAGGGTCACCTCCTTCACCAAAATCATCCGGGACGAGCTGTGGGATCTTACTGCCGAGCTCTCCAAGGCTTCCAAGGGGGATCAACCGGTGCCATTGCGAGGCAAGCTGAGATCACTGAGCTTCAATGTCATGACTCGCATCCTTATGAACAAGACTTACTTTGGATCCAAAGCTTCCAGCGATGATCCAGAGGCGCGGGAGTTTGTGGAGGTCATTGACGAATTGCTAGAGTCAGCCGGAAGTTTTTCCTTGGCCGATTACTTCCCCAGTATCAGCTGGCTCGACTGGAGCATAGCCCGCTGCAAACAAGCTCACTGCAAGATGGATGCATTCCTGGACAAAGTTTTGAGCGAGCAAAGACCCGGAGAAGTTCCCGACTTTGTGGAGATGACGAAGGCACGAGCCCGAGTACCTCAAAGCCTTGCTCATAGTAAGCTCAAAACTCTTGATTTGAGCGAGCTAACTCTTTGTGGTTCTTTACTAGGACTTACTTCTTGGTGGCTCCGAGACATCGTCAACCGTGATTGAATGGGCTATGGCCGAGCTTCTCCACAATCCCGAGTGGATGGAGAAACTCCAGCAAGAGATTGAAAGCGTGGTTGGGCGAGATCGAATGGTGGAGGAGTCTGACTTGGCGAAGCTGGAGCTCGTCAACGCTGTTATCAAGGAGACATTTCGTCTCCATCCCCCGCTGCCCCTTATGATCCCACACACGTCCCCGGAGCCTCGAATAGTCGCCGGCTTTGAGATTCCAGCAAAGGCGACAGTGGTCATCAACGCATACGCGATTGGAAGGGACTCCCAGGCTTGGCCAAATGATCCCGACAAGTTCAAGCCTTGGAGATTTGTTGGCAGCAATACCAACGTCTATGGCCATGACTTTGAGTTGCTTCCGTTTGGATCAGGAAAGCGAGGTTGTCCAGGGCTTCCTCTTGGGCTGCGGAACGTCCAGTTGGTGCTCTCAAACTTGATCCATGGGTTTGACTGGAGATTTCCAGATGGAAAGTTGTCCCTTGACAGTGTCATCAATGTTATTGCGGATGTTGTTCATCAAGCCCAAGTATCACCAAGGCTTGAGCAGTGTGTCTTTGACAATCTTAAAACTTAAGTTATCTGAATGGATGAATGAATAAAGCCCTCTGGAATATTTTTTATCTAATTGGTTAACTCAAGAAATATCCTCTATACAGCTGTACGTTTATACGATGGGCAAGATCGTTTGCGTCACGGGAGCCAATGGCTTCATCGCCTCCTGGATCGTGTGCAAGCTCCTCCAAAGGGGCTACACAGTTCGTGGCACGGTGAGAAACCCAGGTAAAAGATCTAGCGAGTTATAAGAAGATCCTGACTGATCGACCGGCAAATCGAGCAGAAAAATGCGGCCATCTCTTGGGGCTGGATGGAGCAAAGGAGCGCCTCACACTTTTCAAGGCCGATCTCCTGAGCTATGAATCACTGCTGCCGGCGTTTCGCGGCTGCCATGGAGTCTTCCACACAGCTTGTCCTGTGGCCTTCCAATTCGACAATCCAGATGTATGGTATTCTCATCTCTTTCTCCTCCTAAATCTCGCTCACGAGTTTCTTTTCGTTGCTAGGATGTTTTGGGTCCTGCGATTCAAGGCACCGAAAACGTGATGACTGCTTGCTCCAACGAGAAAGTCCAGAGGGTGGTGATGACTTCTTCCGGAGCAGCCATTGTTGCCGATCCAAACAGGCCCAAAGATAAGGTGGTGGACGAGAGCTGCTGGAGCGACTCGGAAGCTTGCAAGGAATGGAAGGTAAGAAACTAAAGCGAGAGCTCTTCGTATTTGATTGATCTTTCTGTGAATCGAAACAGTCGTGGTACTCGCTCGCCAAGACCGAATCCGAGAAGCTGGCATGGAAGTTTGCAAAGGAGAAAGGCCTCGACTTGATTGTCATCTGTCCGGTGATGGTTTTTGGCCCGATCTTACAGCCCACCTCCAACACCACGGTGGAGGCTCTCAAGAATATCATCAAAGGTATAAAGCTCACAGCGGAAGAAAACAAAAAACTCTTTTTTTTTCTTATCCAGGATCGAGCATTCCAAATTCATGGATTCGACTGGTAGACGTGAGAGACGTCGCGGAATCTCACATTGTGGCTTTGGAAAACGAGGCGGCGTCCGGGCGATACTTTTGCTTTGCGCATTGCATTCACTACAAGGACGTCGTCAGCGTCCTGGCCAAGAAATTCCCGCAACACTGCAATCCCGAGCTCCAGTAAGTCGATTTTCTCTCCACAGTCCATGTATATGATCTTCTTCTCTAGGTGCGATGAGAGCCAGCCCGTGGGTGGAATTGCTCCAGAGCTCACCAAGAATGACAAGCTTTTGAGCTTGATCAAGGAGACAATACCATACGAGCAGACACTGGTCGACACAATAAGCTGCCTTGACGACAAAGGTTTCATGTAAATCAAGGTTCTTTTCAATAAAATTCACGAACTTTCAAAGGATTGGTATCAAGCTTTTTGTCAAACTTTCAATTTGAAACGCAAGAACAATCTTTCTCTTTTGTCAAAAGCTCTGCCGACAACGCGAAAGCGATGCCCAATCAAACTCGTCTGGCAAGAACGGCATGTCATCGACAAGATCCCATGCCTCTTTTACGTATCCGCCTCGTGAGAGAGTGTCCACAACGCTGGCAAAGTGCTGCTTCGACGCGTCAATCCCAAAATCGGTGCGCATGGATCCAAAACAAGAGCAAACCCACGAAAAAGCCCCGGCGTGGTTGCCAACAAGCAAGATTCCAGCCAAAGTTATGTCGTTTGGCATTTCAGTGAAAACCATCTTCCGAAAGAGATCTTTGGTCTCCAGCCATCGTCCCTTTCGAGCAAACGCGACCATCAAGGAGTTCCAAGACACAAGGTCTTTTGTTGGAAGCCTTTCTAAGAGTTTCGTAGCTTTATCAGTATGCCCTTTCTCGGTATATGCAGATAGAAAAGTGTTCCACGACACTAAGTCTCTCTGCGGCATTTGATAAAAGAATTTCTCCATTTCGCAAGAACCAGATCTAGCGTAGCTTGCTAGCATGGCATTCCACGAAAATATGTTTCTCTCCTGCATGAAATCAAACACATTCTTCGTTTGATCAAGGTACCCGTGCCGGGCATACGAAGAGAGCAAACACGTTGATGAGACCACATTCCCTCCTGTCAATGACTCCAACTTTCCTTCCCACCTCACTTGAGATAGAAATGCATTCCAGCAGGCACTATCTTTGTCCGGAATCATTGTAAAAATCCTCATTGAATTCTCGAGCTGCTGGTTCCGGGCATACAACACCATCATGCACGTCCACGAAACGACGTCAACCTCGGGCATTTCCGCAAACAAAGCCTCAGCCTCGCGTGTATACCCAACCTGGGCATACGCGCTCAGCAAGGAGTTCCACGAAACCAGATTCCATTCTGGCATCTTACTTTCGAAATACTCCTCCGCCTCCCTTATTTGTTCATTTGACACAAATGCTGAAAGCAAAGCGGTCGTGGAAACAACATTGCGTTCTTGCATGCCGTCATAGATTCTCGATGCCTCGTAGATATGCCCTTCACGGGCATACACTGTAAGCATCGCATTCCAGGCGACAAGATCATGCTCGGGCATGCCAAGAAACATTACACGAGATTTATCAACATTTCCGGATTGGGAGTGTGCTACTAGCATGATTGTCCAAGATACGAGGTTTTGCTCTGGCATGGAACCAAATAATAACCCGCATTCCTGTAGATGCCAGTTCCGGGCATATGCACTAAGCATCAAAACCCAGGAAAACAAGTTCTTTCGACGGATCGAATCAAACACCTGACGAGCAGAACTTGGGCTCCCACATCTCCCATACATTTCGACCACCAGGTTACACAAGTAAACCTCGTATTTCAGCGAATCGCTCAGACGAGCATGAATCTCACGAGCTGCTGGGAGGTCTCTACAGACCCTTATCGCCTCCAAAGTTTCATTCCTCGCCTGCATGCCTCAATATGATCGATCTGCCAGCCACCACCTTTTTCTCTTCCGCGTTCACAGGCCCATGGCTATGAAACTCGTTCGAGAACGCATTGGCTAGCAAGAGATAAGCCGCAGTGTGGTCGGATTTGAGCTCGAGGAGCTCTTTCGCCACCCCAGCCCGGATCTCTCTTTGCTTGTGGCTCTTACAAGCGGCGAGCAAACACGTCCAGTCCAAGGAATCGGGAACAAAAGGCATGGTGGCGATCAAATCTCTTGCCTCTTCAATGTAGCCACTTCGTGCGAGGAGATCGATCATACCGCTAAAGTGTTGCTTGCTTGCCTCCAGTTCATAGTCCCAATGGATGGAACAAAAGCACGAAATCCCAGCTTTCAGGTCTCCGGCATGGCTGCAAGTCATAAGGATACAAATGCAGGAAACATCGTCCGGATTCCGGCCACTGATGTTCAAGGAGCTGAAAATCTCGTGGTTTCCGCTGCGAACATTGATCGAGAGCAGGGAATTCCATGAGAGCATGTCAGGATCTGGCTCGATCCGATCGAAAACTCTCTTTGCTCCGTGAAGATCACAAGCTCGAGCGTACAGAACCATCAACGCATTGTACGAGGCTGTGTTCCTGAATGGCATGCGGACGTAAAAGAGCAAAGATTCGTGGGTGCTCCCGCTTTGGGCATATGCCGTGAGCATCGCATTGCAGGCCACAACGTCCCATTCCTCCATCGAATCAAAGAGCTGCTTGGATTCCTCAAGATGCCCGTTTTGGGCATATGCTGTTAGCATCGTCGTCCACGATATCAGATTCTTTGTTTGCATGGATTCAAAAACAACACTGGCTTTGATTACGTCTCCATTGTGCGTGTGTCCGCCCAGTACGGAATTCCAGGATACCGTGTCTAGCTCGGGCATATTCTCTAGAACCTTTGCTATCATAGCATTATGCCCACAGTGGGCATATCCCGCTAGAATTGTGTTCCAAGAGAAGATATTCTTCTCTTTCATTCCATCAAAAACTCGTTCGGCTAAATCTATCTCTCCGATTTGGCAGTAGCACGAGAGCATGGCATTGGACGATACTAGGTCATATTCCGGAATCTTTTTGAAGAGATGCTCGGACTTTAACAGATACCCGGCTTGGGCATATGCCATTAGCATAGTCGTCCACGACACGATATCCCGCTCGGGCATAGAATCGAACAATGAACCGGCCTCGTCCGTACGGCTGCCTCGCACGTACGCCGCCAGCATGGAGTTCCACGTCACCAAGTTCCTCTCGGGCATAGCCTCAAACACGGTTTGGGCTTCTAGCAAATACCCATTGACGGCAAATGCTGATAGCATGGTGGTCCAAGACACAACATCCTTCTCACGCATCGAACTGAAAATCTGTCTGGCGCCATCGAGATCCTTGTTCCTGGCAAACGCTGCGAGCATCACATTCCAGATCACAAGGCTCCAATTGGGCATCGCCTCGTACATAGATCTTGCCTGGGCGAGGTGCCCATTGCGGGCGTAAGTCGCAAGCATTGCCGCCCAGGTGAATGCGTTCTTGGGCTGGATGCGATCGAAGAGGCGGCGCGCGTCCGTCACAGCGCCCCAATTGCCATAGATTTGGAGCAAGAGATTGGAGGCATAGACGTCGGAATCGAGGAGTTTGCTGCGCGAGTGGAGCTCGCGGAGGTGATCGAGGCTCTTGCATATCCTAAGCTCGCGGAGGAGAGCGTCCCTAGCGGTGCCGTACAAGGAGGAGGTATCCGTACCCATCTGGGATCTATCAGATTCGTGTTTTATTCCATGGGAGAACTAGGGTTGCCCCTTTCTCGTCCAGGAGAGGCGATCCCATGCGCTGGGGAGCTCATTGATCCACATTGTGAGTGTTGTTGTGCCGTGCCGCGCGCGCTGGTCGGTTGATCGATCGCCTGGCGAGTCAAAGCCCTAGCGCGGCGATGATGGACGACAGCGGCGGCCATCCCCTGGATCCAGATCGCAGGTACTCGGTGGAGAGCTTGACCATGGATCCTCTCCTAGCTGACAGGGACGAGGAGGAATCCAGCCGGTCCAATTCGAACAGCACCTATAGCTTGGTCGCGTCGCCGGTGGATCCTCTTGCTCATCCGCTGGGCCGCGAGGATTCCCAGGAAGAAGAGCTAGAATTCTCCAAGGAAACCAACGACGACGACGACGACGACGATGACGACAGATTGGAAGATGCTTCTTCGGCTAGAATCACGAGCACTGCCGGGGGGGAGCGATTGATCCACCAGCTGCAATCCAGCTCCGAGGGAGAATTCTTAAACATTATCGTCACGCAGCCCCAGAAGGAGGCCGATTCCGCGAGCTCGCTCATCCCAGGTGGGAGCTACTTCGTGACTTATCTCGTCAGCGCTAGAACAAACATGCCAGAGTATGGGAAGAGCGAGCACAACGTGAGGAGGAGATTCAAGGACATCGTTGCTCTTGCCGATAGCCTGGTGGAGAAGTACCGTGGCTACTTCATCCCGGCCCGGCCGGACAAGAGCATCGTGGAGAGCCAGATCATGGACAAGCACAACTTCATCGAGCAGCGGCGGCTGGGGATCGAGCGCTACTTGCGCCGGCTGGCCTCTCACTCAGTGTTGAGAAAGAGCGAGGAGCTCAGGACTTTCATAGTTTCCAAGGCCAAGCTCCCGATGGTTCCGACGCTGGATGTGGCGTCGAGGATGCTCGACGGTGCTGCCAAGCTTCCACGGCAGCTCTTTGGCGATGGCCCGGCGGCGGTGAATCCGCAGGAGGTGGTGCACTCTGCGAAAGGTGGCAGGGATTTGCTGAGACTGTTCAAGGAGCTCAGGCAGTCTGTGACGAATGACTGGGGGGCAAGCAGACCTCCCGTGGTTGAGGAGGACAAGGAGTTTGTGGAGAAGAAGGAGCATCTCCGGGAGTGTGAGCGGCGGCTAGCTCATGCTTCACAGCAGGCAAGTTTACACTTTTTCTTTTCCTTGCTTTATCTGATTCTCCGATCTTTCCTTTCTCTCCCGTTATTCGTTTTCTCATTTGATGTTGTGTGTGAAACACAGGCTGATGCATTCACCAAGGCTCAGAAAAATCTTGCCTCCGTGCTGGGGGATGTGGGACTTTCGTTTATGAAACTGGCCAAGTTGGAAACGCAGCAGGCACCCAATAAACCCCATGGAGCAGACGTGCGGCGCCTAGCTACCGCAGTCGTGAGATCGAGCAGAGGCCAAAGAGCATCAAATGCGCAAGCCGAAAGACATCTGGTATGTTTTCGTTTTTTTCTTTTTCTCGCTCGAGAACTTGACGTTTTTTTTGCTGCATAGGACTATCTTCACGAGCACCTTGCAGTACTGCAGTCGGCTCAATATGCATTTGCGGACCGCGACAATGCGCTGCTAACTGTGCAGACTTTGCTATCGGATATCTCTATCATGCATGCACGCGCTGAAAAGCATAGCGCTGCGGCGTCAAAAGTTTTTGGAGGGGATAAAGGCAGGAACAAGAAGATCGACGATTTGAAAGACTCTATAAGAATGACTGAGGAAGCCTGTGAGTGTGCTCAACAAAAGTACAACCAAATCAAGGTCTCGATTTCTCTGTTGCTTTTACGTTGTCGCTCTTTCTGACCCTCGAAGCCTGTCTCTCAGGATCACAACCGGACAGAGATTGAGCGTTTGGAAGGAACAAAGCAAAGCGAATTTTTTAATATGATTCACGGGTTTGTCCAGTCTCAGGTTGGATGAAGAGGTTTTTCTATTCCAACTGATCATTGCTCTTTTGCATTCCAGGTCGGCTACGCTGAGAGAATTGCAAAAGAATGGACCCGAGTAGCGGAGGAGTCTGCTGAGTACTCCGGCAGGCGTGTAGATTCGCCCATTTTCAAATCCAATCTATCGTTCCATGGGTAATGCAACTCATATCTTTGCACTCTTGGGAGGAAGCTTTGATGTTTTGTCAGGAGATAAAAACCAGGCAAAACAGGCACGTGGCAGCATGCAAGATAGCACAAGTGTCAAGTGCATGGATCTTATTCCTTGAAGAAGGAAGAGCAAACGAGGGTAGAGGAGGAAAGCAATCTAGCGTTGTAGCACAGCAGCGTCGATCGAATGGCTTCGTGCGACAAGGTACCGGCTGGACAGATCCCAAGTTCGCCGGATGATGTTCCTGGAAAGCCCACCACGATGATGTCCAAGATAATGGAGAAGGGTGCCGATATGCTCCAGTCCCTCGAGCCAGTGAAGCAGATTCAAGAGGTAAGCTTTGTCAAAGGTGTGATTTTTCTCAGAGTTCTTTGGATGTTAATTCTCCTGCAGCACATCTGTACCTTTGCGTTCTACTCCCACGATATGAAGCGGCAGATTGAAACCCATCACTATGCTTCTCGTGTCAACGAGGACTTCACCCAGTGCCTGGTCTTCGATCGAGACGACTCTCAGGCTCGTCTCATAGGCAAGCGAGATTTTCTTTCTTTCTTTTTCGTCCGTTACTCACGCCTGGTTTGAGTTCAGGAGTGGAGTACATTGTCTCGGATCGCATCTTTGTAACGCTGCCAGACGAGGAAAAGAAGCTTTGGCATTCTCATTCTCACGAGGTAATTTCATTCTCTTTTCCTGGAAAACTAAGCGGGAAGCTGCTTCTCTCGTTAGATCAAGACCGGGCTTTGGGTCCACCCAGGCGTGCCCGAGGCCGTCCAAAAGCAGGAACTCCACAAGCTGGCGCCAACATACGGGAAGTTTTGGTGTACTTGGCAGTTCGATCGAGGCAAGAACATCTTTCCTGGAAAACTAGAGTTTTTATCCTTGTGATCAGGTGACAGGCTTCCAATGGGACCTCCAGCGCTGATGATGTCGCCGCAGGAGGAATGCCCGGTTGATTCCAAGCTCGTGGAAGCGCGAGACAAGAAATATAACATCTCCACGACTGAGAGAGCTGAGTCGAGACGAGATATAGCCGGACTCTCCCGTGTGGATCCTCTGGCCGATCACTGGAAGGCTAGCGGCAAAGGCATGGTCGTGGAGCTCAAGGAAGTTGATATGGCTCTTCCAGGTCCGTATCCAAGCTCTCAGCTTTCGCTGTGATGGGAGAGACGATGATCAAAACTTGGAACTTCCAGGACTCGCGGAAAGGAAGTAGATCCTGTTTCAAGCTCTCAAAAGTCTCCAGAGATGTGATCAACTTCCCAAGTTCGTGGACAGCAGCCACAAAATAAAATCCAAAGCCTGGTTTTTCAGCACCATCTATCTCTTCGCAAAGATCTAAAAGTTTGGTTTTTTCTAGCTTCCCTCCCCCATTTATTTCGTGGAGGTGGTGTTCTTACTTGGCTTTTGGATGCTTGGCAACGAAATCCACCGCTGCTGGAACCGAGACGAGCTTATCAGCAACTTCGTCGGGGATGTAGAGCACGAATTCCTCCTCGAAACCCATCACAATCTCCACCACATCCAAGCTATCCAGACCCAGATCGTTCATGAAATGGCTGGATTGAGTGAGCTGCGAGGAGACAAAACACGCATGAACCCTAAATTCCAGAGAAGCAAATCCTCGATCGATCAATCACTCACCTTGGCTGGATTCACTTTGGGGTGCGCCTTGACGATCATCATCACCCTGTCCAGCGCCTCCTTCTCGCTGATGCCGTCTTGCGCAGGGGCGGACATCCATCGCCGCCCCAGCAATCCCCATCCCCGCCCGGCATCGATCTGGGCGTGTATAGAGGACGATGGAGCTGGCACTGGCGGCGCCAACGCCGCCCTCGATCGAAGCAGCGAGCCACCGCGAGCGGCGATTCTTCTCAGCATTTTCTTCCCCTAGAGCTCTTTATCCCAGTGGAGTCATTCCTATTCTATTCCAATCCAGGCCGCTCATCACGTGGCCTATTCCGAGACCATCTTGGCCGTTGAATCGCTCACCCATAATTTGTGTATAATCTCTGTATATATTTCGATTTCCATGTACTACAGATAGCGTACTTTATCTATCCTCGCAACAAGAGAGCCTCCGCCATGGTGAGTGCCATTCAGCCATTTGCTGCTGCAATCAAGCACAAGGATTTAGCTCCGCCATCGCCACACAAGGTTGTGCTCTAGACTTCACTCCAAAATCTTATCGTCCAAAATCGCTGGCATGGCCATGGATAATTTTGCAGGATGCTTCTCCACCCGCGTCGAATAGCACCAGGAGAAATGTGGCACTGGGTGTGATTGGGGCTTTTGTTTTGGGGGCTCTCGCGGTGGAGCGCCCGGACAAAGCTGCCGCGGTTGTCACGGGAGGATCCCGCTTCGTCAGGCCCGAAACGCGAGAGAAAATCCGCGAGGAGATCGAAGAGGTCAAGAAGAAAAACAAGTAGAACATCCATCGTCCATCAATATGTAAATCACATCAAGCAAAGCACCAATGGTAAAACATCACAAAATCATCATAGTAAAACTATGTGCTAGAACGCATAGATCGAATCACCGGCTTTAGTGGGAGCCAGGATCTGGTATCTCCACAGAGAGAGGGAGCCAAGTAACCCCAGATTGCTCCTCCACTCTTGCTACCAAGTCCAGCAAGCTATTGAACAATCATCTGATTAGTATCATCTAGTATAGACTAAGTTTACTTATAGTTTCCCATACGTGATCGTGAGCCCAAACAAGCGAATGGTGACGAGCATTTGAGATTTTCCAAAGTCGTTGTCAGGGGTAATTTGGTGGTGGATTTGCCCGGTCGCGGCAAATGAAGGAGAAGACATAGTCGCCACCGAGCCTGTTACACCACCTTATGGCTCCAGTCTCCGTGTCGAGTGAAACCACGCATCGTCGCAGAGGGTTGCGTTTGATGGGAAGCAATTGGTTCGATTTCGAGGCATGCTTGGACAGAGGCTAGAACCGTGTAGAGATTTTCTCCTCATCCTCTAGCTCTTTTCTAGTCCAATCCAGGCCGCTCATCATACTCCGAGACCATCCTGGCCGTCGAATCGCTCACTCATACTTCTACAGATAGCGTACTTTATCCTGGCAACAAGCGAGCCTCCGCCATGGTGAGTGTCATTCAGCCATTCACTACTGCAATCAAGCACAAGGATTTAGCTCCGCCATCGCCAGGCAAGGTTGTCCTCTAGACTTTACTTGAAAATCTTATCGCCCAAATCACCGGCATGCCTTTGCGCTGCAATGCAGGATGCACCTCCGAGTAGCGCGAGGAGAAATGTGGCATTGGGTGTGATTGGGGCTTTTGTTTTGGGCGCTCTCGCGGTCGAGTGCCCGGACAACGCTGCCGCGGTTGTCACGGGAGGATCCCGCTTCGTCAGGCCAGAAACTCGAGAGAAACTCCGCGAAGGGATCGAAAAGGTCAAGAAGAAACACAAGAAAAAGTAGAAACATCCGTAAATGTATATATATATATAAATCCCATCGCAAAAGCTTTAAAATTTGCTAGGCAGGAATGAAACACGAGGAGCATCCACTCCACCACTGCCGCCACCTCCAATTCCATCCGATAAGTCCTTGAAAGCTTTGTGCCCGAACCTCTCCACGTCCTCTGCAAGCATCAGCACCACCTCCTTAGTGACATACTCCATTGCATAGACCTGTGAATAGAGGCGTTGCACACCATTGACAACGTTGGCGAGGCCGTAAGATCATCGTTGAGCTGCCGGAAGCGAACGGTGGGCGAGAGTGCGACCCAGAGATCAAGCTTGAGTTTCTTGTCCAGCTCCGTCATGGTGTCGTTGATGAATCGTGCTTTCCCCTGGCATTGCACGGCCTTGTCAATCTGCTGCTTGAGTTTGTGCTTGGAGATGTCGCTCCACATGTAGACCGCCGAGAGGCCATTCCTGGAGCCTGCAAAACTGGTGTCTGGAGTCCCAATATAGTTCGGATTGCTCGGTGGGTTCAGTTGGTATCTGGCGTCCAAGGAAGAGTCATAACTTTCGCCAAGAACAGATCACCTTGTCTTGGACATGAAAATGCCGCATGGAACCAGTGCACCTATCCACTTGTGCCCGCTCATTGCGATGGAATGCACAGCGTCCAGGCTGAGATCAAACTCGGGGGCGACTGCCACAGCGCAACCATCCTCAAACTTGCGGCCTTCCTCCGCTGCCATCTTGAGATACGGCATGTAAGCGGCACCGAGTGCGCCGTCGACGTGGAACCGTACGCTCGGTGTACCGCCGACGTCGATGATCCGCTTGTCGTGGTCGTAGAACCGGACGAGCGTGTCCATGGCTTCGACAACGCTGTCGAAGGCGCCCTTGAAAGTGGTGCCATAGTTGAGGTTGACGAAGATGGGGTGGCCCCTCTGTGCAAAGAAGAGTACGAGCTCCGCGAGAGATGGTTCTATCCTCGGGGCCCTCGTCATGCGACAGGACCTCGTCCTGCCACTTCGAGAAGTAATTCTCGTGAAACTCTTCGCAGCACTCTGGGAATGGAGCGGCGCTCCTCCTGGCTCGGGGCGGGCTTGGCATTTGGAGGCATGGCTGCTTGGCGAAAGACAAGCCGTGGAGATGCCAACACTTTCTTTTTGTCTACACCGGATTCCATGAGGAGGATTTTGCCACCGAGATAATCTCGGGCATTCCACAGCGCATGCATGTTGCCTTCGGTGGATCCCATTTGATGTCAAAGAGGAATCCGTAATAGCCCTCCTTCCTCGTCACCCTTCGCATTCCACAGTGATGCGTAGTAGTCGAGCATGGGGTGCTCCATGAATTTGGTGTTGGTGGAAATGCAGTCTCGTGGAATGTTGTTCATCTGGGGTCATAGTAACCAGCCAATCATACAAACATTTGACCACGATCACTTACATGCATGCCGAGGAAGTCATTCAGTTCGTCAATCTTCTGGTTGGCCTGGACCATGAACCGGGGTAGCTGCTGCTTGAGATAGGCGAGCGTCCTGATGAGCGTCTCCTTGCGGGCTTGCAAACGGTCGGCTGGGTGTTCTTCGAGATTGCCGTCCGTCAAGCTGGACGCAAGATCGAAGTTGACACCCTCGAGAGCTTTCCGTGGTGGGAGGGGAATCGCGCTGCGCGGGTACCATGGATGGATGGATCGAGAGAAGCCAAATGCCAAGAGAACGAGAAAGGACTAAATATTGCTGAGCACTGCAGAGACCTTTCTAACTACAAAATTGTAAATATATAAATTTATAGATAAACATACTAAAATGTTACATGAGGTTGACTGTCTCAATTAGGGTGTCCCTGCATTCCTCCATGGCTTGGAGGTACTTTGAAACATCTGCAGATGTTGTAAGATCTCCTAGGAAGGTGGGTAAGTAGTGTGTGTAAAACCTGAGTATTGGGAAGTAGACGTGCAATTGGAGAGGCTAGACCACGTTGGAGATCTTTGACTTCAAGCCAGCAAAGCTGGTAGAGTTGCTACTCTTGTGGAGTAGATGGTGACTTGAGCCAACCTGTCACATGGAAATGGTGTGCACCAGTTCTGTAGCATAGTGGCACTGTGCGTTTGCATCACTATCCTGTGCTCTGCCTTTGGATCTGTCTATGCGTACATGGAAATGCCGAGGGAGAATTGGACATGTGCTGGGACTGATGGCATGGTACAACAGAAGTCCAATTTGTCACTGTAGGTTGATCTGTAGCAAGTATTCTTTTAAAAGTGGTTTTACATTGGTCCTCGCAAGCCACCCTTTCAAAGCAAGCTCAAGAGATTGTCATGGCTGGTTGGGCAAGGAGCGCTTCCAAGTGAATTCCCAATCGTGCTGTCTAGGTAATACGGTCGTTCCACCATCTGGTTTAGAGTTCCTTGTGAAGACCAATGGAGTTAGTGATTGCAGTGACCACACATCAGTCCATAGTCTTATGTTTGGTTGTGCATTGTTTCTTTCAGGCCTGGATTCCACTTGGAGTAATTCTGTGCAAAGGATTCCACATTATGTCTTTTCCCATGTCCCGAAGTCATGATGGAGGAAGCTCTTGTTTAGTGCTTCTAGTTATGCCCAGCATGTGGCTGAGTACTTAGTCCCCATGCATCAAGAGAAGAGTGGTCGTGATCCACATGTTGAAGTGTTGTTTCCTCACATCCCAACGATAGATGGAGGGATTGTGTGTGCTAGGCAATTGCTTCTCAATGGGTCACATAAGTGGTCCACGTGCACTGGCGGTGGATTTACAGACTCAAATATTTATAGCCCTCAACTTTCATAATCTCCTCTCCTCAGAAAAGTTGTGGTGAGAGATCCTTCTTCAAGCCAAAGACAACTATTTGTGTCTTTGCAGTGTTAACACCTAGAAACGTTTATTGACTAAGTATGCTCAAGAGCAGCAAGTTGTTGTTGCATGGCTTACTCAATGGAAGCAAAGAGGAGTAGGTCATCCGCATAGAGCAACAGGTGAAGATAAAGGCTAGCCATTTGGATCAAGGAGAGTGATATGTGTGTAAACAATGTCTTGAGAGTGTTTATATTAATGCTGGAGAGCGGGCATCCCTGTTTAACTCTTGCATCACTTATGATGGAGACATCTTTGTTAAGCTCTACTTGGATGTGAGAGTAAAGGTGACAAATGTGAAGCGGTGCTCCAGGGTGTTCAAGGTGTTGGTTAAGCAAATGTCACAACACATTATTGAAAGCCTTTTGAAAGTCCACAAAACAGTAAAGGAGATGTCGTTTTTTTAGCTCTAGTTTTGTTTAGAAGTGTTCACAAAGTAATCAAGTGATCAATGCAGCTGCATTTGGGCCGAAATCCAGCCTGTCCCGACACTTCTATCCTCATGTCCTCTACCCAAAGTGTAAGGTGGTGCTCTAGAAGCTAAGTGTAGAGTTTTAAAAACACACTACTAACCATGGTACAACATTAGTTGGTAGGTTGAGTTGGATTGCAATACTCCTGTTGATTTTTCTAGTGAGTGATCTTTATTGCAAGATTAGAGTATGACAAGTCTACTTATATCATGAGAGATGGTGGAAAATAACAGTAATAGACGTAAATTGGATCAGTTTCTAGCAAGCTTAAGGGCTGTGTAGTATTTAGTTGTAAATTGACAAACCATTAACACCTCAAGAAGTAAGCCTTGATATGTTAGAGATAGGTTGAGTTGAAATAGTGTTGTCTAAGAAGGCTAGGTAGAGTAGGATCCTTGGCTTGTCATCAGGATGGAGATAGCATGAGCAATCTTCTATATGGTTTCATGTGTCCCTTTTGGAACATTTTTTGAAGGGGGAAACTTTTAACTTTTTGTTCTGTCCACCCCTTAAGTGACAGCACTGAAAAATGCTTGAAACCTGTAGAACAAACTAATAAAATAATGCCATGTATAAAAATGGCAATCATCACTACAATTTTATATTAATGACAAATTTTATATTAATGACATAGCATTTTTCTTAAAATTTTATTAGGGGAGTTTTTTCTTTTAGGGGGAAAAAAGAGGGACACATGGAACCTGGTGGGGGTTGTTGTAAGCAGGTGGGAGTGGCCTAGGACAGCTTGTGGCAACAACTTGGTGTAGATAAAATGACTAGTCATGAGCCATGGTTGGTGTGATATAGAGTCTAATATGGGAGAGATCATGGTATGGTATGGATCACAGATGGTGATCTCTGTAGGAATTGGGATATGAGCAAGGACTTCATATGTAATGTGATAGATAAGCAGGTCTGTTGTGACATAGTGTCTGGCTGGAAGAGATTGTAGAGTGAATCAGTGGTCTAACATGATGCATCAACATTTGGGATGGAGCAATGGAGGGAGAAGCATTTTGGCTGTGGTGGCCCTTATCGAGATGGACACTTTGTGGATATGCAAGACTTTGTGACATCAACAGCATCATGTGGTCCTGCAGAAAGGCAGAAGTTAGTGTATCCGTATATGGTGTGGAGCATACTTCCAAACCATGCCTGTAGTAATACAGTCAATGGTGATGAACTGCTATTGGACCGCTCGAATTTCGGATAGATAAGGTGGCCTATCTCCTAATTTAAATGATGGTTGTTGTGTTGTTAATAGTCTTTGTATGTTTGTCCAGAGAGCTCTTGTGGTTGACATTTATCTCTCCCATTGGAAAATATTTATATAAATTTAAAAAATTATAATCTAAAATTTATATCAACCGTTTTAGAAAACTGCAATCAGCTCGTAAATGTCAGATTTGTCAGAATTTAAAAATTATCAATAAGCTAAGCATGCTTCTTAATTTTATATTTGTGGGGGGTGCCTTCGTGAGGAAGCGTTCCAAAAATTTGGATATGCCGCTATTATGTGACCAGCACACGGTATTCTTTAGTAAAAGGCGAAAGAATAGTTCGCTTTGCGCTGACCACACGGCTCGTGTGTTTTCAAATCGATCCTTAATCTCTTTATATACACATTCCCAGGCATGAAACCAAGCTCCGGCATGTGGGATATGTCCAAAAGCCCTAGGTCACCGTACACTTTCGTACTGCCCTTATTCTTAGAATTTCAAGTTTGAAATTGCTAGGCCACACAGAACGCGTAGATCGAATCACCGGTCGTGGGAGGCATGTATCCAGATCCAACGAAAGCACACCCATCGGCCACAGAGAATCCCCCGCCCTGTTTGGAATTTGTCATGCCCCTCCACACAATCCTCCCATTCCTGGCGTCCAGCGCGTAAATGTAACCCGCGTCCTCGAACGATCCAACAAACAACACATCGTTTGAAATGGCCACCGCTCCATAAGCTAGAGCACCGGTGGGATTTGCCGTGGACCAGAGTATCGCTCCAGTGTTGGCATCCATGGCTACCCAGCCGCCCCCCCGAGTGACATTGCTAGATGGGATGAGCGTGAAGTTCAGCCCATCTCTGTTGACGATGTTGGTGTAGATCCTCGTGTTATCAGCGGCAGCTCCCCAGATTGCTCCTCCACTCTTGCTACCAGGTCCAGCAAGCTATAGAACAATCATCGGATTAGTATCATCTTGTATATACTAAGTTTACTTACAGTTTCCCATACGAGTTCTCCAGTTGATCGGTCGTGAGCCCAGACAATGCCGCTCTTCTGGCCCGTGACAACCACATCTCTCCATCTGTTTCTGTGACGAATGGTGACGAGCATTGGAGATTCTCCAAAGTCGTAGTCCGGGCCCGGCTGCGAGGGGCATTTTGGTAGTGGATTTTCCCGGTCGCGGCAAATGAAGGAGAAGACGTCGCCGCCACCGAGCCTGTTACACCACCTTATGGCTCCGGTCTCCGTGTCGAGTGCGACCACCGCATCGTCGCAGAGGGTTGCGTTTGATGGAAAGCAACCGGTTCGATTTGCATCGAGGCATGCCTGGATGGACGCTGGAACCGTGTAGAGGTTTCCAGTTGCGATGTAGACGAGGCCTCGCTTTTCGTCGATGGAAGGGCTGCTTCCCCAGATTGCGGCTCCAGAGTAAAGTTCATTTTGCCCGTGGTTGTCTGGAAGCATGCCCGTTTTCCAGATTCGTGACCCTGTCGTCAGACTGAGCTTTTGAAAGCTCCCTTGGAAGGTGCAGCAAATGGTGTCGTTCACCTCTTGGTCTGACGAGATTCCAACGTAGAAAGCACTGAAAACATATAAACATCAATAGTAATAAGTAATATAAATAGGAAAAATACTTACTCTTTGTGAGCTGTTCCAGACATGGTAATTTTCGCAAGGGGCGTTTCCTCAAGCTCCTGGGAGATCCATACTAGCTTTCCAGTCTCTCTTTTCAACGCGACAACCTTGGCAGGGCCGAGCAATCCAATGATTACCAGCTCTTTTGTCAGTGCCGGAGAAGTTCTTGAGATCACCCCACTCAAGCCTGTGATCTGTGTCAAATTCACCCTCCAGACCAAAGATCCTTGCATAGACACCGCAAAGACAAGCCCACTCCAAGTTGGAACGTAGACCACACCCTTGTAGATGGCTGGAGTCGCCGAGACGAATGGTCCAGTGACAAATCTCCACTTTTGAGCGAGGGTGTGAGCGTTTTGGGGGCTAATCTTGTGCTCCTTCTCCTGGAAGCGCCTGTTGGTGATATCTCCTCCATGGTTTGTCCAATCTCCTTGATCACATTCACATATAGTCTTGCAGAAACACAGTAAGAAATCTAGAAAATCGCTGTGCTACTTACCAGCAGGAAGAAGCAAATCACAAGTGTTATACTATACGCCATTGAACTGATCCATCAAGGAATGGATTTTTATAAAGGAAAGTCCAAGATAGCTACAACCGTCATTGACATTAAAGACGAATGAGATTTGTAAGTTCGTAAACCCTAAAATGCATATGCCCTAAAACCCTAAATGCCACTAGATTAGGGTTCTTGGACAATGGCCGCGAAATGGAAGGCGCAGCAGCGGAAGCAGCGATGGCAGCACAGCGCGGTGCTGCTCCCCTCCTCTCTAATCTCTCGTGCCGGCGCGGACGCGAGGATCTCTTCTTTCTGCACGGCTCTGCGCGAGTGGAGCTCGCTGGGAAACACGTTTGATCAGGTATCCGGCGCCAAGCGCCTCGTAGCAGCGCTAGAGGCAGTCGCAGGGGTAGAATCCGAGGCGCTGGCCGTGGCATTGTCGGTGTTCGTGGAGATTTTGTTCCAGGAGGGATCCAGGCCCGTCCACCGTACGATGCTCTCGGCTCTCACGCAATTCCAGCAGTGTCGCGAGGTTCTAGAGGAGATTTTCCAGCGGTGTTGTGCGGATTATGGACTGGGGGGCTTGAATGAGAGAAGATTTGCGCTGGTGGCGGTGGGGCTCTCTCTCGCGAGCTTGCCAAAGCCGGGGCTACTCAAGGACGTGGTTCGCAAGTGCTCTACGCTGATAGCTTCCAGCGCCAGCTTCGACGTCCGGGACGTGTTGAGGCGGTCGGAGAGTGGTGAGAATGCCACTCCATCGCTCATGGAGGATTGCCAGGACGCCATGTCCACGGTCTACTACATGCTCCAGAACTCGTCCCAGGACTTTGGAAGCCAGGCTTTTGGGGACGTGGTGGTGACTTCGCTGGATGTTTTGCAAAGCTCGTTCATGTCCCGGGACTGCGTGGTAGCGGCGGGGGTTTGCTTGTGTGCTACTGCCCAGATGTCGAGCTCGCGGTCGAGACTGGTGTTGATGCTCGCCGAGGCTCTCTTCCCAGAGGTGAATTCACAGTATTGTGCCGTGGAAGAGGAGGAGTTTAGCAGGGATAATAGCGAACAAGGCAAGCTAGAGAGCGTGATTCACAGATTACGTCGCTCGACTATGGCCGAGGAGGCCGAGAAGTTCACGGATTTTGGTCGGCTGTGCGTACTTCGAGGACTTCTCACAGCTGCTCCTCGAGAGGTTTTGAATTACTGCCTGCTCAAAAAGGTGACGGTAGAAGAAGATGGTCGAAGAACCTCCAACTTGGTGGTGTGGACACTTCTATACGATGGGATCTTGCCAGCTCTCTGTGCCGCAACGGAGAGCTCCTTCGACAGCCACTTCAAGTTCCATGGTATGACTGCGCTCCAGATATGTCTACAACAGATCAAGGCGTCGATCTTGGGCAACGTTACAGCAGCCGCGATTGACGAGCTCCGCAGCGTCAAAGGAGCAGCTTTTACTGCTCCAGCGACGCCATTTTCTCCGACGATGACGAGCAGAGTTATGCAGATCATTTGGAACAACTGGGAAGACCCTCTCAATCAGACCGTCCGGCAGGTCCAGATGGTTTTCGACTTACTTGCGGACTTGCAATCTTCGTCATCAAGTGAAGGCGGTGAAACGGCACAGGCACAAAATGGCACGCAGTCTTTTTTGCATCAGATTGCGAACGATCTCCTCACAGTTGGTGGACACCGGAAAGGAAGATATGTTCCTCTGGCTACGTTGGCGTTGCGACTTGGAGCTCAGACGCTGTTGGAGATGTGCCCGGGCCTTCTTTTCCAGACCATTCACGCCATGTCCGATGATGGAGTTTGCTGCGCAGCAAGCTCGTTTTTAAAGCTGTTCCTGGAGCGGCTTCGCGACGAGTGCTGGAACAACGAAGGCGTTACGCAGGGAAGCATACGATTTCGGCAACTTTGGGTTCCTCCGATGGTGGCTGGCGTCGTTGCTGGAAACCCAAGACTTCGGATCAACTTACACACGTACGCACTTTCGGTGGCACTGGAGATTGACAGCGATAGCCTTTTACAGATGCTGGGGTTCGTTTTAGATGGCTTGGCTGTTCGTGAGGTGCCATCATGGGAGGACTTGCGGGGTGCTGCTGGAATGCCAGATTTTTTTACGCAGAACCAACGGGTGGCCTTGTTTGTGTCTCTTATCAAGGTCGCTCGGGGATTAGCTCTGATAGAAAACGAAATCAGGGCGTCTGGAAGTGCGTCGGAGATGACGTTTCTGGTGAAAGGTGTGGCCGTTTACGCACCAATATCTTTTCTAGAGCTCGGGCTTACTCATCTCGAAGAAGGTTTACGGGTGGATTCTGCGGAGCTTATTTGCTTGAATCCCAAGACAGCGGTGATGCCTTCACCTTTCGAGCTGCATCTTTTGAGGGTGGCAATGCCTTTGAACATGAGGTGCTCTTCGACAGCTTTCCGGATGAAATGGACGAGTTTGCTCAAGAAGTTTTTCAGCAGAGTTCGGGTGGCGACTGACAGGCAGATGAAACTGGAATCATCAAAGGGCGGCTACAGGAATGGAGAACAGGCGAATGGAGCTATTCAGAGGAAGCTCGACAGCTCAGTGGTGACGCTCGCAGAGATGCAGGCGTTCATGCAATGGTTGACGCGGCTGCTGGTTTCATCCTTGTACCCGTCAGCTCCTTACGAGCGGAAGTACATGGCGATGGAAATACTCAACGTACTACTCGACGTTTGGCCCACGACGGATCAGCTGCAGTCCAAGAAAAACTTCTCGCCGTATGGAAAGGAGCTCTTCTCGGCAGACTACACGATGGTTCTTCTCGGTGCTGTCGTGGATAGCTGGGACCGTCTCAGAGAGAGCGCCTACAAGATACTTCTACGCTATCCCACTCCATTACCGGGCTTAGAAGCACAAGAGAAGGTGGCGGAGGTGTTACAATGGGGAAAAGTTCTTGCGAATAGTCCTCGTGTCAGAGAAAGCGATGCAGGAGCGCTTGTGTTGAGGCTCATATTTCGAAAGTACGTCTGCGAGCTCGGATGGAGAGTTTCACTACATCCAGAAGCTGAGGCTGTGCAGACGAAGCCTGTTTCTGGGGATCAGATTGTTTGCTACATCGAGTCACTCAACGATTGGCTCGAGGCTGGGGTTTTGGAAGGTGAAAGGAACCTCGTGACGGCTTGCAAGCATAGCTTTGTGCACGGGGTTCTACTCACGCTCCGTTACACTTTCAGCGAGCTGGATTGGATTTCTGATGGAGTGAGGGCCAATGTCGCCGGGCTTCGCAGGGCCTGTGAAAGGCTTTTTAAGCTCCTGTTGAAGGTTACGTCTCTAGCTCTCTGGGTTGTATCAGTCGATGCTCTCAACCTCAAGGAGAAAGAGTATGAAGGCTTGGACGAGGACGTTGAGGATCTACCTGTGTCTGATTCTGATGATATCGAAGGTGATGATGATGGCATTGGTGGAGATGACGATGCTAGCCTTTTGGCTCCACTGGAACAGATGGTTATGGTAGGCTGCTGGCTATCCATGAAAGAGGTACGTGAAAGTTTTTTCTTTCTATTTTTCTTTGCTTAACTTTTTTCAGGTCAGCTTGCTCCTAGGGACTGTTGCACGAGGGGCACCACTACCCGGTTGTAGCTACAACGCTAGGACTGGAAATGGTGTTCTCCAGTCTTTAGAAGAATCGAAGATTATTATGTTGGAGTCTGCACAGCTTGAAGAAATCGGTCAGCATTTTTTGCAAGTGCTTCTTGCTATGAAGCATAATGGCGCTATTGACAAAACTCGAGTTGGCTTTGTCGCTCTGTGCAATCGTTTACTGCTCTCAAGCGACACAAGGTCAGGTGGTTCGTTCTTCATCAAACTCGGACTAATCTGTGTTTTTACAGGTTAAGCAAGATGCCTGAGATTTGGATGCAGCAACTTATGAAACGGACTGTTCTCAAGGACCAATCGCTCGATGATCTGCTGAGAAGGAGCGCAGGAATTCCGGCGTCGTTTCTCGCGTTGTTTCTTTCGGAACACGACGGTGCGCCGAGAAAGCTTCTTCCCATGGGCTTAAGGTGGCTGATTGACAACATCAAACAATTTCTCGACTCCTCGACCAGTAAAGATGTGGTGCCTGTCGTGCACGCCTTCAACACTCTCAGAGTAACTTTCAACGACACGAACTTATCAACTGATACGTCTGGATTTTGCGCTGAAGCTTTGATAGTTGCCATCAAAGCATTTGCTTCTCCTTATTGGCAAGTCCGGAACAGTGCTACACTCGCTTTCACTGCGCTACTACATCGTATCGTTGGATTTCTAAACGTACACAAGCAGGCTACAGCACGTCGTGCTATTACTGGTTTTGAGTTCTTTAACAGGTATGGTTAGGCTCGTTTCTTGATCTATTACATGTTTCGATTTCAGGTATCCCGCTCTTCATCCGTTCCTTCTGGAGGAACTAGAATGTGCTACCATGAACTTACAACAGGGGGTGACGCAAAGCCGGCTTCATCCGAGCCTTGCACCGATTCTGGTGATTCTGTCGCGTCTGAGGCCATCGATTGTCAACACAAGGACGGACGACTGGCTGAGCCCTTCAGCATTCATGCCGTCCGTCGTGCGTTGTGCAACTCAGTGCAATTTAAAGCTCCGAGTTCTCGCATCTCGTGCTTTAGCACCGCTTGTCACCGCGGAGAACCTTTTGAACGTTCTGCTGGAGCTCTGTTGCCAGTTATCGAAGCAGCCAGTGCGTTACAACACCATCCACGGCGTTTTACTGCAGCTATCATCGCTTCTTAAATCCAACTGTACGGAGGTATCCCAGCAGGAACAGCAGGGACAGATCGTGGTGCAGGTTTTCGACAGGATCAAAGAGTGCACACTACTTGGCACGATAAACCGGACATCGTGTTTTATAGCGGTTGCAGCATTTCTTGGAGTTTTACAAGATCTTCTGGAACTTGCTTATCAGTGCCAACAGGTGCCATCAGTGCGGGAAACCATGCAACAACTCCGGCCGGTACTTTTGCACCTCAGCAGCCAAAGTATCAGCCATAGCGACAGTTCCGCAAAGCCGTGGGACTCGACGCTTGTGGATTTGAAAGGACTAGCTGCGTATATCTACTTCAGCACAATTCTGCGAGGTTGGCAAACTTCTAACGCTGATACCGCTTCGGGCCAGTACCAGACACTGGATCAGTCTGCAGCAGCAATGACAACGGACACGAAAACATTTTATACGACTTTACGAGAAGCGCTGGCTGACAAGATGTACGAGGTTAGACTGGCAACACTGAAGGCGCTAAAGTCATTCTCGACACAACAAGTAAACGAAAATTTCGCTGTTGCTTTCACACAGTTGGACGCGAGAATGTTGCGTGGCCTGCTAGCAGAGCGTTTATATACGGAGCTTCATCCCAGATGCGTCAAGCGCATATTACAGGTTTTTCTGAGATGGAACCTTCTCGCAGTTGGCAACGATCCTCAGCAGGACCCTTTCAAGATATGGAACACGTTACTCGGAATTTACAACACCTCCAAGGTCTCCAAGACAAGGGAATCTGCAGTACGTTGTCTCGGCAATTGCATGCAACACCTTCTCGTCTCAATGAAGGCCGAGATGGTGGACAGGGACTTGGACGACTCCGACTGGGAAGTCTTTCGCGGGGTGCTCGAGACATGGAACGATCTGATACGACGCCACAGTGCGGCCAGCGAGCCTGTAAACTTGAGGAGAGCGATTTCTTCGGCAATAATCTCCTCGAGGTGCTTGGAGGAGTCTAAGTGGCTCAGGGAGAATACCAGGATGGTGGCAGTGTCTCCGAGGTTGAAGTGGTACAGGAAAATAGTTCTGAGCGTCTGGTCGGTAACCATCAACCTTTTGGAGGACGAAGACATTGTTCTACGCCAGCAGCTTGCGTTAGCCCTCCAGGACGTCATGGTACCCGTTTTCAAAGCTCCGCATGCTAGCGTTCCAGCTCAAGTGGAGAGGGTGCTGGAAACGAGCCTCGCATTCCTGAAGCTCCAGTTCCAGGAATGCGATTTCTTCTACGACTTTCTTGCTGGGTGGATACTGGGCGACGACAGCTCTCGTTTTGGAGGCCTCCAGAACACAGACTTGGTCCGTAAGCTGTTCGACAAAGAGCTCGATAACCACCACGAGGAGCAGCTACTGGTGGTCCAACTTTGCTGCTCGCACATCGAAAGCTTCCTCGACTCGCCGGAACACTCGACCGAGTTTGTCACCAAATGGCGAGGCAAATTCCTGGACCAGGCAGTGGCTTGTGCAAAGTGGTGTTTGGAGCTCCAGCGATCAACGCACTGGGTCGGAGGCATAACAAACCACCAGGACGTGTTCAAGCACCTATACAGGACCTTGCTCGGATTATTAGTGCTATCAACACCGAAAACCACAGGAAACTCGTCTTTAAGCTCCCTGCAAGCTCTAAAAGGGAGTCTTTTGGAGCTGACATCGCTAAATGAGGTACCTCTGAGTCCCATGATTTCTAACTTGCTCTCCAGATTACTCCAAGCGGTCGAGCAAAGCACCGGCATGAACTTGGTTGCCGATTCTTTCCGAGCTTCCATGCATGACAGCTACTGCCCGGATTTTGAGCCGTTTTTCTTGCTCAAATAGAAGTTTAAGCAGCTGTCCAACTTTGTCATCGGGCAATCCAGCGTGATCCATGTGGGACTGCCAAATTTTTTGACTACGATACAGCTGTGGCGATTTCCGCTCGCCACGTTTTTGGGATTCATCCACTCGCCGTGTCGGCATCATATTACTTCCGTCAAGTTTTATCATACTCGTCGAAAGGTGTGATAAACAGTCGCTTAAGAGAGTCTAAAGATACGCTTATCACGTTACAGTGACGCTATATCTATCTTTTCGTGTCACAAGAGGGGCAAGCGAGCTTGGGACACTACTCGCAGAGTAAGTCCTTCGGCTCTTAATGCGCTGATTGCCGAGTTTTTGTTCTTTTCCAGGTCGATTGATCGAAAAGCCACCATGGTCTATCACAGGAACTTGCTCCAAGTGCAGCCTTCGGAGGCTATATACCAGGATCTGAGGGCCATTGGCACCGCGTCCCGTGATATCGGGATCCAGCTCGCCGCTACCGTTTCTGCGGGGCATTTTGGATTCCTGAGATGGCTTGCAACCATAGCTGCCATGTAAGTCACACAGGTGTTTTTTCCCTGAGTTCTCACTTGCTTGGATGATCTTGGCTTGCGCAGATTCCTCATTGTTGTGGATAGAACCCACTGGAAGACTGATCTCCTGACCGGGCTGCTGGTGCCTTACATCTGGCTCAACCTTCCTCCAATCCTCTTCGGCTTCTTCAGGTGCTAGTTTTCCAAGTTCTTCTACTTCGGTTTCACGATTTAGTGTGACAGGGGCGAGGTCGGCAAGTGGATTTCCCTCATCACTGTTATTGTCCGTCTCTTCATCCCCCGAAAGTTCCCAGGTACTTGAACCAGAAAAGCATTCAAGTTTCTTGAGTTTTGAGTTCTTGTAACCTTCGCAGAGGAAGCGGAGCTGCCCGTGTCACTCATCCTCCTCATCGTCGTTGCTCCAAACCTCCTGGCCAACTCGGTGAGGAACAGCTTGGCTGGGATAATCGTGAGCTTGGCAATCGGCTGCTACCTCCTCGTCCAGCACATCAACAATGCCGGTGGCTTCCGCAAGGCGTTCGCCGCCCAAAACGGCATCCCAAACACCATTGGCATCCTCCTCCTCTTCGTCTCGCCGCTCTGGGAGATCTTCCACCACTACCTCTGAGCTTTGTGTATATAGCCCAGCAAGAGCTCCTCTTGGCTATGCAATAAGCTCTTTGGGTCGATCACTTGATCTCTTTTCTAGCCATCGTTGCTTGAGAGCTTTGATCTGGAAGTATTGCTCGAGACCACCATGAGCTTCGTTCTCAAAATAGTCAAACTTGCAAGTTGTTAGCCTCCCACGTTTTAAATGGTTTATGCTCGGGGGTGGAGGAGGGCTCCGTGATTTCGAGTGGCAGAGGCTCTTGAGGCTTGTTGGTGGCTCCAGGGATTTGGAAAGAGCGAGAGAGCTCCATGGCGCCATTCTCGCCTCTCGCAGCGAGCATGATGACAGCAGCCGGGGACCTTTTCTCTCGAATCTGGTGCTCCAAATGTATGGCAAGTGTGGAAGTGTGGAAGACGCGAAGGTGGTGTTCGAGAACACGGCCGCGCGGAACAGCTTCTCGTGGACAATGCTCGTTACTGCATATGCCCAGAATGGGTATGCGTGGGATGCGTATAGATTGCTGGAATTGATGCCGGAGAGAAATGTTTTGAGCTCCACTGCTGTGTTGAAAGCTTTCTCTGGACGCGGGCTTTGGCTTGAGAGCAAGGCCCTCTTTGATCATATGCCCGAAAGGAACGAAATCGCCTGGACTGTCATGGCTGAGGCAAATGCCCAAATGGGGCATTTTCTGGAAGCGAAGAAAGCGTTTGATTTCATGCCACTCCATTGCGTTGTGTCTGCGACAACAATGATAGCTGCTTTTAGCAAGCACGGTAATGTACCTTTTTGCAAAATGGTTTTCGATGTAATGCGCGAGAGAAACTGCCTGAGCTGGATCACTCTCTCGGATGCATTTGCCGAGAACGGGTATTTTGAGGAATCTCTTTCGGTATTCAAGAGCATGCCAATGTGGGACAAAGTGTCATCAACCGCAATGCTCAAGTCGTGTGTTAAGCACTCTAAGCACGATCTGGCGAAGATGATCTTTGAAACCATGCTCTACCAGGATCACGTTGCGTGGACCACGATGATCATAGCAAATGCCCAAGCGGGGCAAATGCTTGCCGCGAAACACGCCTTCGATTCCATGGAGAAGCGTGATCTTGTCTCGTGGACAGCAATGCTGGCGGCGTTTTGCTCCAACGAAGACATCTCCGCCGCGAAAAATCACTTTGATCGAATGCCTAAACACAGTGTTGTTGCGTGGAACGAGCTTGTCAAAGCGACAATCACCGCAGGCATGATCGAGGAGGGGCGGGCGCTCTTCCACCGGATCCCACAGCCGGATTCCTTCTCCTGGACCTCTGCCATCGCCTCGCTCGCGCAGCGCCGCCACTTTGCCGCCGCGGAGGAGCTCTTCGCCGCCATGCCCGAGCAGCTTAAGGATACTGTCGCCCACACGGCGATGCTTCGAGCGCTGCTCTCTTCCGGCGCGATCGATCGAGCAAAGGCCGTGTTTGATGCCATGGAGAGGAGAGATGGGGTGGCCTGGGCGACGATGCTCCAGGGATTCGCGCAGAGAGGTCGTAGATTTCTGGAAGATGCCGAGAGAGTGTTCTTGGCGATGCCTTGCAGGAATTCTTTCTCCTACACGACGATGGTGGCGGGGTTTTGCGAGGCCGACCGGATCGAGCAAGCGCAGAGCCTCTTCTGGGCGATGCCGGAGAGGGACGTGGTGGCCTGGACGGTGCTCCTGGCGGCGATCGGGCGGGCGGATCATCTGCCTCTCTCGCGGGTGATGGAGCTCTTTGATTCCATGCCGGAGAGGAACGTCCTCTCGTGGAATGCTCTGCTGGGCGCTTGCTCGCGCGGCGAGAGGGACCTCGATTGCGCCAGGAGCGTCTTCCTCGCGATGCCGCAACGCGATCGGGGCTCGTGGGTCGCGATGATCGCTGCCGTCGCGCAGCTCGGCGATCTCGAGGAGGCGCGCTCGATCTTCGACGAGGCTCCGGAGCAGGCGTCGGGGGCCTGGGCGGCGATTGTCCAGGGCTACGCGAATCGGGGGCAGCTGAAAGAGGCGAGGAGGATCTTCGAGCAAAGCGCTGCTAGCGATCGATCGCCCATAGCCTGGAACGCCTTGATCGCGGCCTACGCAGAGAATGGCAACCTTGGCGAGGCGAGGGCCCTCTTCGACGCGATGCCGTCGGATTCCCGCGACGCGGCCACGTGGACGGCCATGATCGGCGGGTTCGCCCAGCGCGGGAATCTTGAAATGGCGGAAGAGCTCTTGGAGAATATACCACCGGGGTTTGAAACAATTGGCGCCAAGAACGCAGTGCTCGCCGGGCACGCCCAGATCGGCGAGATGGAGCGAGCTCTGGAAATCTTCCAATCCATGGAAGAGAAGGACGCAGCTAGCTACACGGCAATGGTGGCTGGATTCGCCCGCGCGTCCAATCTCGGCCCCGCGCGCGAGCTCTTCGATCAAACACCCCACAAAGACATCGTCGCGTGGAACACGATCCTCGCGGCTTTTGCCCAGGCCGGGCATCTCTCGCAAGCGCTGGAGATCTTCGACAACATCCCGCGTCCCAATCTCACGTCTTGGAACGCGATCATCGCCGGTTTCGCTCACTCTCACTGCGGCCAATCTGCGCTCCAGCACTTCCACTCAATGCTTCTCCACGGGATCAAAGCCGACGCCACCACCTTCTCGGGAGTTCTTCGCGCTTGCAGCCACACTGGCTTGCTCGAGGAGGCCTCGAGCTACTTCGTGCTACTGGCGAGAGATCTGGGGGTGAGGCCCGGCCGCGAGCAGTACCAGTGGATGGTTGATATCGTGTCGAGGTTGGGCCAGCTCGAGCTCGCAGAGGAGCTCATCAAAGCCATGCCTTTCTTCCCAAACGATGTTGCGTGGGGGTCGCTCCTCACTGCCTGTGGAACCCAGGGGGATTTGGAGCGAGCCAAGAGGATTTCCAGCCACGCTGTGGCTGCCGACGCGAAGAACTCTGGGAGGTATGTCGCCTTTGCAAACGTTGTTGCCGACCAGAGCTGCTACGCGAATGGAGGTGACTAGAAGCAAAATCCATTTTCTCGTTCGATCTTCGCAGAGACTGGCAAAACTCTTCCATTGTTCTTTAGGCGGTCATTTGGATGATCAGACTCTTGTCTTGGAACTTTGCTCCCTTAACTTTGCCGTGCATTTGCGGCGGGAGCTTGATCACTCTCTTCTGATCTCCGGCATCCAGCAGCAGCTCCGATCGTTTCAGCTGGAAAACAAAACCGTTTCTTTCTTTCCTTCAGGAAGGATTGAATCGAGGAACAGTGGCTTACCTGGGAGAGCTTGACGTCGGCTTTGTCAAATCCTGGCAAGAAACAAGTGACTGTCCCAGACGAGTGATCTAGCGAAACTGGCGGGGTCGAAACCGACGAGCCATCTCCCCGCAATACTTCGCAAGTTTGTTTGTCGAGGCTCGAAAGAATTTGCTCCCAGCTGGGTGGACTCTCACCGAAGGTTAGTTCTGGAATGGAAGCCACGGGCAGAGAAGAGAAACCTTCTTTCCAAGTTTGAGCCCTGGAGTTCTGGTGGTGGACGACTCCGGCAACGTGAACTCCGGCTTGCACAGCACAACCCCAGTACCGGAGAGCCGTTTTTTCTGTCAGTTTGCTCCTTGGATCGGTCACAATGTAGCTGGAGAATGTGTTGGGATTGGCAAAGTTCTGCTCAACTCCCTGGAAAACAAAGAAACGAGAGACTTTTAGCTGAAAAGAAATAGAAAATGTGTGTTTTACGTGGAGAACAGTGTTTGCTAGCTCCCAAAGCTCCGAAGTTGATCTTTCAGTCGACAAATCTTCGAGCAGTGAAGCTTCGGCGAGTCTCAAAATGGAAGGAAGTACGACTCTTCCAATATCAGTCTTCTCGGCAATGCTTCTAAACCGATTCATGTACCACCTGCGGATCAAAAGTACGTGAAGGAAAAACTTCCAAAGTTTGGAAAGCTTTTGGCTTACCTTAGTCTTTCAGCACATCCAAACATTCTTAGAGTCTCATCGCTGTTTGGGCCGTCGTAGACGACAACGTCGTACTCGGGCTTGAAAACTTTCGAGCGTTTTGGAAAAAACCGGCGAGCAAAGCCACACAGCTGGTCCAGAACGAACAAAGCCATGATCGAATCCATGCCCGGCAACACGCTCAGCTCCTCACCAGCAACCTTCTCTGTTCCAAACACTTCTCATCATCTCCAGAAAAACAAAAAAACATAACAAGTTCTCGAAAACACAAACAAACCTCCGTCTGAAGAGCTCCTTGGCTGAAACTTATTCGACCGTCCGCTTTCTTGACTTGCTCCAAAGGCTGTGCTAAAATCTGCAAGCGAAAGACCAAAGCCACCTCGACTGAGAAAAACAAAACTATAGAACGCAAACCTTGGTAGTCTCGAGTCGAAGTGCTGTGAGAGATCCATTCTCAAGAATTTTCGTAGGCTGGTGCTTGAGCTGATGACCCAGAAGAAAATCAGCAGTAACATCCTGGGACTGAATCACTAAACACGTCCGAAGGCCAATGCTGGCGTAGAACTAGATAGAGTTCCAAGAGTTACGAGAATTCATGGAAAAGCTATGGTAGTACCTGAGCAGCCAAGACGCTACAGGTTGTCTTGCCAGTTCCTCCTTTCCCAATGAAAGTCACCAGCTTGGGATTTTTCTCCTCCTTTTTCTGCTGCTCTTGTGCCACTGCCCTGCATTGTATCTTTCTCTCTTTTCCTCGCCACACCCAACTCGGGGCCATGGCACAAGCCATGCTATCTTTTCTATCTATCAAATGGACAAAGCTTTAGGTAAGAACTTTTATGGCGATGCTTCTTCTCCAGCGGACGAGTCTTTCTCGGTTCCACTTTGCTCCTCCTCCTCGACCATCCATTGGGCGATCCAGATTCAAGGCGTTTGCTTCTGTAAGTTCTTCATTCTCCGTCGAGGTGTAGTTTGTTGACGATGTTTTCATTCTCTACAGGCAGGAACAAACGTAAAAAAAGCTGATAAGCTGGAGCTCGCGTGTCCTGTTTGCCGCAAATCTTTCAAGAACGATGACCAACCGAGGAACTTTCCAAGATTTGCCTGTGATTGCTGCAAAAAGTCGTACACCAGTACCTCGAGTGGGATCATCGACTTGACAATATCACCGACAACAGTAGCTCCACTCGGAGCTTCGTTTTTCCAGTAAGTTCGTTGCGTTTCTTTTTGTCCAAGTACTAACAGCAGTAGCATAGCGAGTGAAACAGGAACCCGTTGCTGGCATTCGCGTACGACAGAGGCTACCGCGACCTTTTCTGGATCTGGAACTTCCCCGGCTACGATCAAGAGGTTTGTCTCTTCATGCATTGACGTTTATAAGTTTTCTTTGTTCTTTCCTTGGTTTCCTGTTCTCCAGTTTAGAATGGCACAGAAACTCATAGAGCCCGTCGCGCGTGGAGAAACCATCATGGACCTCAGCTGTGCCGGAGGCTGTTTTACTCGACGCTTCCTCGCAAGCAAGAGTTACAAGCGTGTCATCGCGGCCGACTACTCTCAGGAAATGCTCGAGCAATGCCGGGGTTTTCTGGAGAGCGATAGCTTTCTAGACATGAGGTTTGCTATTCATTCCAAAAGTTTCTTTCTTCGTGCTCTTTGGAAAGCGCAGTTTCCTAACATTTTTCATGAACAGTGAGTGTGTTCTTTTGAGAGCCGACGCAGGCAGGCTTCCACTTGCAAACTCTAGCGTAGCAGCCGTGCATTCCGGGGCAGCAATCCACTGCTGGCCCGAGCCAATCATAGCGGTACGCACTCCACTTCTCTCATGGCATTGATCTTACATATAAATCATGAAGGTGGCAGAAATATCTCGAGTGCTCCGGCCACAAGGCCTGTTTGTTGGGAGTACTTTCGTGTTTCCAGAACCTCCTCCACCGATAGATGGAATTATCAATCCTGTTCGCGAGGTGACGAACGATGATATTTTTCTTTCTTTTCGAGCTCTTTCTTCATTTTTTTATTTTTTATTTTGTTCTTTCTTTGTTACTCGTCGGTGGCTTATGGGTGGGATGATACTTCTTTGCAGGCAATCATGCAGCTCCAGGTCCCCTTTAAAGCCTGGACACAAAAGGAGTTGCAGCAACTTGTAGAGGCCGGTGGCTTAATTGATTGGAAGAGCCAGACAAGCGGCCGATACATTCTCTTCTCTGCAACGAAACCAGCCTAAGGTAAATCCAAAACATCTCTTTCTCACTCGCTTGACGCTGTTTCCGGTCGTGTGTGTGAATTCACAGGATTTTCTTTTTACGTAATCCAGGCTTTTCTTGTTCTTTTTTTCTGTCGAGTTCCTCCGTTGTGAATTTTGCTCGATCTCTCAGGAGGAATGGCACTCGTCCTCCTTAGGAGAAGGATAATAATCAGACGAGTGTATGGTTTCAAGCAACGAGAACTTTGGTCCTCTAATCATCATTTCGGCTTGAGGTTCATAGCTACAGGTGCTCGAGAGATGTACCAAGAACAGGAGAATGAACAAGATGACGATGCGAGGACAACTCTAAAGAGCCTGGCGTGTCCTATATGCTTGCAGCCACTCTGGACATCCAGCAATGAAAGCGTGAGCGTTGAGTACGTGTTCTTCGTCTCTAAATCTCTTGTATCTTTGACGAGAAATCTTCCTTCCAGGAACGCTGCAAGCACTTCCTTCCGGTGTAATGGCTGCCGGAGGAGCTACCACTCCAGCTCCCGCGGGATCATAAACTTGACGATTCCGGGAGCTTGCGGAGTTCCACTCTCAGCGTCGGTGTTTGAGTAAGAGAAGCTAAACCCATCCCGCTCATATCTCTCGTCTCGTGTCTTCTTCTTTTCTCAAGGAATTCGATCGTAGCACGCTTTTACGACAAGAGCTACCGTGACCAGGTCTTTCAGCTCGTTGGATTCCCAGGCTTTGACGAAGAGGTAGAAAGGATACTTCGGGAGAAACGAGATCTGACCTCTTGGTTTTTGCAGTTTACTATGGCACAGGAGATCTTGAGACCATGTTTCGGGAAAGCCATCATGGACTTGAGCTGTGCCGGGGGCACTTTGACGCGAAAGTTCGCAGCCAGCAACGCGTACAAGCTCGTGATTGCGTCGGACTACTCGGAAGCCATGCTCAACGAGTCCTTCCACCTCCTCGCAGGCGATCCAGACATCAACGTCAGGTACTCTTTAAACTCCCTGGCCGTGAAAGCGAGACCGCCATTTGGACTCACGCTCGCCTTTCTCTTTCGAACTTTGATAGCAAAGTCGTGCTCGTCAAGGCCGACGCTGGAAGGCTGCCTTTCACATCCTCCAGCTTAGCGGCTGTTCACACCAGTGCGGCAATTCATTGCTGGCCTCAGCCTCTCCATGCCGTAAGTAGCGATCCAAGCGAGAAAGGAAAAGCTCTCCTTTTCTTTCAAGTTCTACTACTTAGTTCTACTCAATGCAGGTGGCCGAGATCGCGAGGCTGCTCCAACCGGGAGGGATCTTCGTAGCGAGCACCTTTCTATTCCCTCTGCCGCCTCCACCGATCGACAAGCTGCTGGAGCCTTTAAGACAGGTTCTTTCGAGTGGTTTTCTGTCAAGTTTTTGATCGCAGCAAGCAGGCACTGGGGAGAATGCAATGCCCTCTACGCCTGTGGACGGAGCTGGATTTGCGAGAGATCGTCACGGCCAATGGGCTCATCAACTGGAAGAGCACGCGCCAAGGAGCCTTCGTCTTGTTCTCGGCAACAAAGCCGCTGTAAAAGACATTGGAAACCATAGAATATCCTCGCGCTTTTTAGGGTTCCTCGATTTTTAGGGTTCTTATTAAAGAAGGGGGAAATGCCCAACGGGATTTCGCTCATCGCTGCCAGTCCCGCCGGGGCTGCCACGGCGTCCACTTCCGCGCTGGCCTCCTCTGCGGATCGCGCCAACTCGCGGCTACGGAAGCCATCGCCAGGCGAGGTACTGTCGGATGATTATGATTTCTGCGGTCCCACGGCGGAGGAAGTGGAGGCAGCGTCCAAGGAGCTCGGGAATGTGTTTGGTGGCACGTAAGGATTTCGCAAACTCTTTTTGCGCTTTGCCTT